CACCAATCAGAAACGAGCTTTTTTATTTTAAGCTTTTCGGGCCTTTTGATGAAACTTTACTATAGGTTATCGAGGGCCAGGATTCCGAATTTGAGGTCGGATTTTATATCCGACCTTCCCATTGGCTTACATGCCGACCAATCAAAAATGAGCTTTTTTATTTTAAGCTTTTTGGGCCTTTTGATGAAACTTTGATATAGGTTATCGATGGCCAGGATTCCTAATCTAAGGGCAGATTTTATATCCAGCCTTCCCATTGGCTAGAAAGCCGACCAATCAAAAATGAGCTTTTTTATTTTAAGCTTTTTAGGCGTTTTGAAGAAACTTTACTAAAGGTTATCGAGGGCCAGGATTCTAAATTTGAGGTCGGATTTTATATCCGACCTTCCCATTGGCTAACATGCCGACCAATCAGAAATGAGCTTTTTATTTTAAGCTTTTTGGGCTTTTTGATGAAACTTTGATATAGGTTATCGATGGCCAGTATTCCAAATTTGAGGTCGGATTTTATATCCGACGTTCCCATTGGTTAGAAAGGTGACCAATCAGAAATGAGCTTTTTTATTTTAAGCTTTTTGGGCTTTTTGATGAAACTTTATTATAGGTATGCCATGACCAGAATTCTGAGTCTTTGATCGAATGTTAGATGTTCAAAATGTTGACCGAAGTAAATCGGTGTCGAAGAATCCGAATGCGAAGTCGGTTTTTCAAAATTTTGAGTGTGATTTTTTTTTAGTGAAAGAAAAGGTTTTTTGAGAAAATGACGATATTTTAGAGAAGTTGGTGAGCCTAAATCGGTGTCAGAGCATCCGGCGCTTTACTATATCGCTGGAAGTTTACCGGTATAATTTTACAATCAGGGTAAGGCTTTTTAAGGAAACAATATGTTTTCGGTGTATTGAACATTGAGTGATATGAAATAATATGAGCTTGTGGTCTGGTAATGATTAGGAGAGTAACGTATTCAAGTGTGTAAGCTGGATTACAGAGTCGACTATATAACTAGCGTAAACTATATCTGAGGATTCTCCACAGTGGGTATGAGGTGTAGGTGTAAGGTAGAACAAGATCAACGCACTCAGGCACATACTTACACCGACACCGACATCCACGCCACAAAGTATTCCTAATATCCAAATTCACGTTTAAGTCAATGGGATATGACTGGCATCTAAGCCTGCTCGCATTGCCTTATTTCTGGCTTACTGTTCCATTATTTGCATTTGCTTTCCAACAGACGGTTTGACTCATGAAATTTCTTTGCACTATGACTGGAAGAAGGTAATATAAACAAATATGTAGAAATGATATCACATTTTCTTGCGATTAAAAGAGAATAACTAGCTTTTGCTCAGATGTGCTCAGATAATGGAGCGACTAGCCGTTAGTGCCGCTCTGAAGGGCGCCCGACGAACGACTAGTCACTCCTATTGCAGGCTCAGTGTTGATTCGCCCCACAGATGATCATTTATAAATGCTTGATTTTTTTGGAGAATACTCCACTAAGATTCTCTTAGCGAAGAATTTAAGTGAACCTCTGATTGGCGAGCGAGGCAAATTCTCGTGTTATAACTGTAACGACTTTTTGGAACTAAGTGAAATCTAGAATCTGATAGGGTTTAAATCAAAGAGAATGGTTTTATGCAAGAATAGAATTCAGTATAGTAGTGGCTAGCCGCGAATGGTGCTCCAAAGGAACACCGACGTGTGATTAGCTGCTACTCAGTGAGATTCTCTAAAGATATACTCCAGATTGTTGTAATCCATCGAAAAAATGTCTACAGTGAAGATCTGACAGGTTCAATAGAAATCAGAACTAGCAAAAAAGACTAAGAAATGTTTTCGAATGAAATGTGAGAACAGTTGTGCTGCACGTGCACAATATATGAATGAAACATTTGACAGAAACGTCATGCAAAGAATTCAGTTCTGTCCATTCAAAGTAGATTTCCGTGAAATAAAATAGCTTTTCTGTCATTATGTATCCATGTCTATGTGTATTTACTCGTCTAAATTTATTCGAGTACTTCGAAATTATCTGTCTAATTCGGTGACTATTTTGAGTGCTAGCGTCATTCGAGTGGCGTATTCTGAGAATAAGCCTGATCAAATATAATTTATTGTAATCTAGAAGTTTAGCTATACACGCGTTTTTGTAGCGGACACTAGCAAATGATATTGTCGGTTAATGTGCTGGTAACTATACAGATTTTTATTTGTTTTCAAGAAGTATGATGAGTTTTCACGCTAGTGTCCTGGGTATTCTTTTTTTTTATTGTCTCTCTCTATATTAAATGCAAACCCTTTTCTCGGAGCATATGGATACTGCTGTCTTAGTGTTATTCATCTAGATTTCCGTTGGATATCATTCAATGTGTTTCTGTTTCGTTGGATCAGTTTATAAGAAAACGTATTTCAGACACACGCATGCCAATGCACACAAAGACATTGATGCGAATGTCAATATTCGCATTCACATGCACCCTTTTCAAACTTTTGATACGCGCCCTGTTGAGGACTGCGAATCAGTACACAATACCGAACCAGCTGAATACTCAGTCGAGGGTCAAGCGAGTCACATAGACAGGGGTGGCGCGAGTCAACCAACATTGGGGGGGTGTAGCGAAATTTTTTGGACTAGAAAGACGAAGTCTGCAATTTTTCGGGGGGTGTAACATTGTTTTTGGTGACAAATGGAAGAAAATTTCCTGATTTTGTTGAGCAAAAAAACAGAAATTTTTGAAGATTGGGGGGGTGTCGCACCCCCGACTACCCCCCGGTCGCGCCACCCCTGCACATAGACGAGCGTTACTTGTTTAATATTGTATACATATGATTAAGTAAACGATATGTACAAACTTTATTTATTAACATCGACATTAATGTTTGTGATGTTAAATCAAGTTTAGCATCAAGTTCATCAATAACTAATGTATATATATATTTTTATAAAATTCAATTAATGTTATTTTACGTACAGATGTTAAAATTTTTAATATTAATTTTTCTTATGCATTTAAACGATGTTCGGTACGAAATAATGAATTTTTACCATATATTATTGAATAAATATAATCAAGTAAATTTGTTTGTTTAATATAATTATTTAAATTAATAACATAACGACTTATTGAGAATAAAATTTCTTCTTCAAATATATGATGTTGTTCACAACATAACATCCATATTAATAATTCAAATAATATAAATGATGATGATAATTCAAATGCTGAAAGAATTTTTCTTATAGCTGCTTGATATTCATGATATTCTTGTGTACCTATGGAAAATTCCGTACTTTTTAATGGAAAACAATCAGCTGTAAATTGTCTTTATGTACGACAAAGATCATTTGACCATTTTTGACGTTTATCTTCATTTAAATTTTCATCTGTATCAGTTGATGCAAAAAATGCTAATAAATCAAGTAAGCATATTTTAAATGTTAAATTTAATTGTTTATCAATTAATAATAATAAATACATTTGTGATATATTATCAAATTGTTCATGTTATATTAATTGATGACTATCAATTGTAAATGTTTTTGTTAATAATGTTACTATTAATAATTTATCATCAATATTTGTTGAATAATAAAGTGAAGAAAATTGTGGCCAACATGTATATATACCATCAATAAATTGTCGACCATAATGTTGACGCATATCTTTTTCACGACTACATAAATCAAGAACAGTACTTAAAGATGCAACAATTGGACGACATTGTTCAACAGAATTTATTTCACCAACATTATCAATTATAAAATGTTGTGTTATACCAAGCCAACTTGTTATTTGATGTTTAAATAATTTTAATAAATATGTACCAATTGTTGTCATACCAGAATCTGTAAGTATACGATTTGATTGAAAAAAATATGATAAAACTTGATAAGGCTATAAAGAAAGAAATTATGCAAACTATTCGCAAAGTTACTTAACAAACAGAAAATTATAATTAAATCAAATTAAGTGAATTTTATTTCTGGTAATAGAGGAGACTTACAGGTTTATAAATAAACTCTTTGCTGCAATAGAAGACTCTCTTGAAGGAATAATACCCCGAACGTAATCAAGATTAGGCTTTGTGATAACTTTGGATGGAAATCAGATTTTGAAATACCATTTACTTTTCTCTGCCAGAAAGCGAAACAAAAATAAGCATCAACATCATTACGAGTGGAATAGGATTGGACTAGGGGTCAGATCAAGATGTGTTTCGTTCTCCTACCCCTCTGGTCATCACTGTTGACACTTCGAGAATGAAAGTATTTTTCGTCGAATTTTCAGCCACTCATACCCTTAAAAAATGCCGATAACCGAGATGTAATAGAAGACTCCTTTAAGAATATTTATAAACTTTAATTTTATGAATAAAAACTTGCGAGTCTTGTCTGTTCCCAAAAAAAAAATCTACTTGATCTAGTTTAATCGCAGTGAAAATGTATAGTTTTGATTTTCTGGGTACACTCTATACATTTAAAAATACGAGAAAGAATATTTTACTTTACCTTAATGCCTAAGTAAATAATATAATCAAATAGAGATTGTAAACCACGTTGAGTATCGACAGTTAAAACAAAATTTGCTTTATCGAAATCTTCTTCACGATTAATCATTTTCTATAAATACAAAACACACACATTAATTAAAAATTTTAATTATAATACAAAAAAAAAGAAAATCAATACCGATAGCATTGTTGTCCATAATCCTTTTGCATATTCTTCAGGTTCATCAGGTTTAGGTAGCAGAGATGTCCATCGCGCCTGAAAACCTGCCGCTGCCGCGCCGCTGTCTTTTACATCCATTGGCGCAGCGGCGCTGCCGCGCCGCGATGATATAAAAAGTGTAAGCTGCCGCGCCGCTGTGGTATAAAATCGAAAACTGCCGCGCCGCTGCCGCTCCGCTGTGGTATGAAATCGAAAGCAGCCGCGCCGCTGTATTATATAAAATACATGTTGCCGCGGTGCTTCTGCATCTCAACATACTAAAAACATTGCCGTTGTTGCAGCGATATTTGAAGAAAAGGTTACAGCACCGCTACTATCATTATATGAAGAAAAAATGCCATTTGTCAGTCTACAATAGTCATGCAGTCTGGTTTTCACTCGAAATCAATGAGGAATAACGGTTTAGATGCTATAGTAACAAATAACTTCTAAGCATATATAGAACAAGTATATTTTACTAGCATTTAAGCAAATAATCTAAATATTTACGATATGTATAATCATATAAATGTATGACATGAAAATGATTGATTTAAAACCTACAAAGAATCATGTCATGTGCCTTTCTATATTCTAATTTAAAGAAGAAAATTAATTATAAAATGCATTAATATGCACGATATTAATAAACTCTTGTTGTTCATTTTCAGTTTGCGATAGTTTGATAGGTCTAAATCTGCAAAAAAATAAAAAAGTAACATTAAAACAAACAGATTAATTACGACTATTTATCATGATTGCCATTTTTAATACAGAAAAAGAATGGAAAAAGCTTTTAGCAAAGAAAGCATGAACTGAAAATGATATTAAAAATATCTATTAGACGTAAGGCAATACAATAAACACTTTCATATTGTAATCAGTATATTTCTCGTACCAACGTAATTAACTTAGATAAGCTTAAAGCTTTTATTTGTCTCTGCACTTTAAAATCACCGTAAAATGCAACATTTAGAAAAAGAATTTGATTTGTCTACTTTATGTGAAAGACTAGTGTAATTTCAGCTGTGAAGCTGGAAATTTTTTAGAATTATAGAGTAAATTTCTGCAAAAAAATCGTGCCGCGTTGCTGCCGCGGTGGCTAAAAAAATGGAAAGCCGCTGCCGCGCTACTGCCGCGGCACCGTTATGAATGATCTGCCGCGGCGCGGCAGCGCCGCGCTAATCTATAAAAAAAAACCTGCCGCTGCCGCGCCGCCTACCGCGGCTGCGGCGCGATGGACATCTCTGTTAGGTAGTAATCGAACAACATGTAAGAGACGATGTCCACGAGTTATCTATATATATAATGCTCAGTGTGTGTCTGTTTCTCTGTGCCGGGTCAAAGGCCAAAGATTCTAGAAAATTCACCGTCAGGAATGCTTCCTCATAAACTTAAATTAAAGATCGATGCAATTGTTATGCTTCTTCGCAACCTCGATGTTCATCAAGATCTATGCAATGGAATTCGGTTGATTGTGGGACGTCTAATAAATCACACGATTGATTGTGAAGTCGCAACTGGATCTAACAAAGGAAGCCGAGTTCTAATACTAAAAATTACTTTGACACCATCTGATCCATTTTTGCCCTTTCAACTACGTAGGCACCAATTTCCTATTCGACACTCATTTGCTATGACAATTAACAAATTACAAGGACAGACCTTTGATCGATTAGGACTACTTCTACCACAACCAGTTTTTAGCCATGGACAACTCTACGTTGCTTTTTCGAGAGTTCGCTCTCTAACATCTATCAAGGTACAAATCACCAAAGAAGAAAAAAACAGTGAAAGACACAAAACTAAAAACATTATTTTCAAAGAAATTTTGTAAATTTGTTGTTTTAGAATAAAATGAAGATTATGTAAATAAATTCTTTTGATACGACGGAGATAAATATTTTAACAATATACTCGATAATTCTCTGATCCTCACGAAAAACTTGCTTTTGATGATAAAAAACTACCGTGCAGTATGCACGGGTTCGCGCTAGTTTTATATATTGTCGTGTAATAAATTGTACATGATTTGAGGAAAGTTTGAATTTAGTTTTAAATAGAATTAATTAAAAGAACTTACTTTAGATGATTATATAGGTCAGTGTAAAAATATTTGCTTTTGTAAAATATATGAATACAAAAAAACAATACCGATCGAACTCTTTCCTTTTTTTAAAATTTCTATCACTATTCTTTCTACCAATATTTATTTTGTGTTACTATTAAATATAACAACGTTTATTTCTGTACATTCTTATGTGGCATTACTGCATTTCGAAGATGTTCCATTGCGCTTATTAGTGTAATTTGAGGTCATTATTAAAATCGATTTTTTTTTCGTGCGGAAGTAATTCTTTTTGAACTCACTGCTCTTTATTGATTTTTTGTTGGAAAATATTTATTGATCAACTTTGAATAATAAAAATAATAAAGAAAAAAGATTAATTCATTTCCTAGTTGAAGAAATATGGTGGAAGAGATTAAAGTGTATGAACAACTATACCACGATAGAGAAATGCGATCTAACATTTGTTTCATTTTATCTTTGATGATCACTGATGTAAATGTAAATAAATAAATAACATAAACTTCATCAGTAAATATTCTTGTTTGTATTTTGGTTTGTATTGGTTAGGTTGAAAACACATGAAATTGATCGATCGATATGCGTTCAAGACCAAATATTCGCCATATATTATACATTTGTTCGCACTATCGCTGGTTGCATTTATAACTTTCGGTTCTAGTTATATGCGTTCGTATAGACTATTTTCGATGTTTTTATTAGGAAGACATTGAAATCAACTGAGAAGAAAAGATTTTCAAAAAAAAAATAAAATCTTCAGAAATTGATCAAAATATCTCATTGATGCAGCGTTGGTTTAACAAGTAATCAGGGTGGTCACAATCAAACATAGACCATAAAGGAAGTATTTTGGCTTGAAATCGCTAGTTTATTATTTCATCTAGCTGTAGTTGAGCTTTTCTTGCTCTTGTTCGAATAGAACTCATAATTCTGAATGAAAAAAAGAATATTTTTAAACACAATTCACTTAAGATTTTCGTTGAAAGCTAAAGAAATACAACCGACAAATTTTATGAGTGTGCACATCAGGCCCGCTCTACTCCACAATGAATATAATTCTATACAATCTAAATGTCATATTTATAATTAGTGTACTGAGATTAATATATCTATATATGTTGCGATCAAAATGCAGAAAAAAGTATATTTTGATTCTCCAGGTGACTGGATGTCCTAGGTTGTGATAACTGTGTTGTCATTTATCACGATTTCGGTTAGACTTAACAAGCTCAAGCGATACTAATATCAAATATATGCGTAAAGGTGAATTTTGATGTGAGCGTCCATGTGCATGTCAATTTCAGGTTTTTTTAAGGATATTGATGTATGGGATGTTTCTGTTCGCCTATTCATCATCATGTTTCTGACGAATTATTATTAGATATGATACTCGAAAAGAATAAGTTTATTATTTATTAAGTTTAAACTACATTTATAACGATTTAATTTTCGTTTGAAACAACAGACTAACGCATTGTTGCTGCTGAAACACGCCTTCATTACTTCGAAAAAGTGTTCTTACTTCTAAGTTCTCATTTTGTGGAACAAATGAGGCTTCTTGTCGAAAAAAATTTATCATACAAGAACATAGTATTTTGCTATTTTATGTTCGATGTGTTCTAGAAATTACCTTTTTTTTAAATAAATATTATAAACACAAAATTCAAGATTTTAATTTTTCATAATCTTTCTTGTTTTACATATGGAATAAATCTGAAAATTCTTCAAATATAATTATTCTAAAAAGTGTTCTTTCTTTTTATTCATTTTCGTAGTTCATATAACTTGAACATTATTTACTTATATCTCTTCAAAAAAATAATACCTGATTATATAAACATAAAGTCATATGTATAAAGAAAAGTTTTTAAATAAAAAAAAGAAGAATCATAACAACAACTAAAACTATCAATAATAAAAATAAAGCAATCGACGGTCCCAATAAATCCGGAGTCGATTTAGTCTTCATTTGTCGATCAGTTCGAAAGAATCGCCAAAGAGAATATAACAAAATAAAAATTCCACACAGAACTAATATAAATCCAGCAACAATTGGTTTCTTATCAACATTTTTACTCCTTAAATTTGATGAACTATTCGAACTACTAAATCGTGCAATAGCACATCCGAGTGTAAACACAGTAAGACCGGTTCGTATCCAAGCTAAAAAAGTTCGTTCATTAGACAAAATGTTATCTGCCATATTGTTATCATCATGTTTAGTCCTTTCTTCAAATTTTTTTTTCATCATCATTTATTGTAACGCTATCTAAAATAAAACGAATTATTTAAAAACTATTATTAACAAAAAACTTCATTTACAACTTTACTTACAAAATAAATTGAATTTATAAATCTCAGTATCAATATAAATGCATTTGCTTACCAATAAGCGCTGAACATGATTTAATCATGCATGACGTTGATTAGATATGATATGTGAAGACGAACGAATCATATAATTGTGCCAATCGACATATTATCCTATATGATATCTTTTCTTTCTCAGTGTGTTCTTGTACAATTAATGATACATAGTGTTCATAGTCGTGTTACTCTTACGTTTATCTATGCATGATTGAACCTTATTCTCTTTCTGTCGTAATGCGCTTCTCATTCTATATCACTATGCATACGTATATTATATGTATTGTTCTCACCTGTGTGTTCTTACCCTATTGTTCTTCTATATCTGTTCTCTCCTTGGCCTCATCATCTTTCTTTTCATTACCTCTTATTCTACTCGTGTATATAAACGCGTGCTTTATATGTAAACGGTACGGTTGTATGATATGAGGGAAGAGAATAAAGTGTATCACCATCAACACTAACATTCCTTGTATCATTGATCGTCACAAGACTATTATATGATATGAAGGAATAGAATCACCAACCATACTAACATTCCTTCTATCATTTTTCATCATATCTTCCAAGAAATTTCATAATATATTCGAGAAAACTTAGTCAAATAGCTTTTTTTTCTCAATTTTGAATTATTAAAATCCTA